GTCATGCACATGAGTATGTGTAAACGGACACACCTGCATTACTGTTGGGCTAGAGATTCCATGTCTCTCATGCTCTGTTATACAAGAAATGTGCTGTAACCTTTCTGATTCCACTCTGTTCATCTTGGCCCCTGACACAAGGCAGGCATAATCATAAAACAAATAGATGATTTAGTAAGAGAGAAAACAAATCTCTTGCAACAAGAGCAACGATGTTTAGAAGTGGACAGATCACTGGGAAAAAAATTGCAACACTTATTTTTTTTTCAAGGATGTGCATCCTCCTCACTCTGGTCAGCCTTGGGTCGTGGGTTTGCACGTGATCCCCTTCACTCTGACCTTTGAGGACCCTCCTCTTCCTCACAGACAGATCCAAAGCATCTGAGGAAGGACTTGCTAAAGGCCCTGAAATCACTGGGGCCAGAGGCCTGGGCGCTGCTGATCCGTGCATCAGACAGGCCGTGTCCCTGATATGAAGGTATTATGCAAAACCATTGAGGAGGAGCCTGCTTTTATTCCCCACTCGGACTAGGGGGTGTGCAGCGAGTGGGGTCAGTAAACTGGATTTGAAGGTAAAGCCTCATGCCAGTAGCTGGACGACTCCTGCCAGATGAGAGTGCCGAGGGGACAGATGGTCCTGCCCTCCCTCCTGTGACCTGTTGGGCAGAGCAAGCAAAGGACCTCTTTTGCTGTGGGGCCAGGGCAGATGCCAGAGCCCTGTCAGACACGAAGGAAAGGCTGTACTGGGAGCAGGGGGGGTGTGTACATGTGTGTGTGTAGTTGGTTGTGTTTTGTGGGTTTTGTTTTTTGGTGTGTGTTTTGTTTTGTTGTTTGGTGGGGTTTTTTTGGTGTTTGTGTGGGTTTTTTTGTGGTGGGGTGTTTTTGGTGGTTGATGTTGTTAGTCATGGGAACAGGAGGAAATCTCCAGGGTAGCTGGTGCAAAGGCAGAACTGCACACCCACTTAGCCCAAGGTCTGTGAACCTGCCTGAGTGCGAAAGCACTGCCTGCCCTCTGCCAGCATTCTGGGTGCGATGGCTGAGACCTCTTCCTCCTGGATGCCTTTCCTGGATGGTTGTAGGGTGCGTGAATGGTACCGTATGTGAAGGCCTAGGTTTGGATTCTGTGCCCAAGCCCACGGCTGGGGGAAGCATGATGCCATTGGTTCCAGTGGCAGGAGCAGCAGGAGGTGGAAAGACAGGTTGGAGAGAAACTGAGAGTTCTCCTTAGTTTCTCCTTTTCCTCGTCTCTAAGAGAATCCAGCCTTCTCTGTACTCCAAGTTTCCAAGTTGGGGCTGTGGCACTGAGCCCCTTATCTGGCCAGAGGAGACTGGCTATTTGTCGTGCTCTCTCTCCACCCTTCCTGCCATGGTGTCCTCTCATGCGCGCTCTGCTTTGTTCAGAGACCTGGCGGTGACTGATCCAAAAGCAAGTGGGATGTTCTTACCAGCAGGCTGGGCATCAGTGCCCTGGTCAAGGTGTCAGAGGCTACAGCCAAGGCCACACAGTGCAGGCTGTGAGCATTGGTGCTGGTAGTGTCGCATCCTGCAGCTGGCCAAGAAGCACGTAGTGCAAGTGTGCGAGCTCCTGCAGCTGCTGAGCAAGGTGTGTCCTATCTGCAGGGAGGGGAGCCTGGCGGAGTCTGCAGGTAATTCAACCTGTCCCCTCTGCCTTCTCCTGCTTGACTGTTCCTCTCCAGATAGTTTCAGTCTGATTGTCTCATTTCCTTTGTGCTTTGGACAAATGGCCAGCCTTTCCTCCTGCCCCAAGCCCACTTCTATCTTCCGTGCTGTGACCCTCCTTTGCAGCCTTTTTTACTCCCTGCATACTTGCTCTCTCTGCAGGACTGGTAAATGAAGACAGCCCTGGGTAAAATGTGGCTCCAGGCAGTGCAAGAGAAGCAGAAGTGAAGGAAAGGAGGCGCAAGGGAAAGACAATAAAAATAAAAACCAACCAAACAAAAGAAATAATGAATAGTTCTGATGAGCTCTGCACATGCTGTCTTGGGACAGGACAGCTGTTTGTCAGTTTTGGCCCCTGTCAGTGTGAAGAAGGGGGACAAACCACTGAGGGGGGCGAGGGTTTGGGAGGGGGGTGTGTACAGAAGAAAAACAAGGCCACTGAGCATGTGTGTACAGATATACTTGTGATGGGGTTCTGTGGTGTGGTGAAGCTCACCACATGCGAGTGAGGGTGGGGAGGTCTCTGTAGGTGCGTTTGGACTGTGGCTGTGTCTGGAGGGAGAGCCAGAGCTTATATGAAAATCCTTACAGTAGTGGCATTGTCCTGGTTTTGGCTGGGATACAGTTAATTTTCTTCCTAGTAGCTGGTATCGTGCTGTGGTTTGGATTTAGGATGAGAATAATGTTGATAACACACTGATGTTTTAGTTGTTGCTAAGTTGTGCTTACACCAGTCTGCCCGGTGCACCAGAAGCTGGGAGGGGGCACAGCCAGGACAGCCGACCCGGGCCGGCCGCAGGGCTATGCCATACCCTGTGGCGTCATGCCCAGTATATAAGCTTGGGGGAGTTGGCCGGGAGGCGGGGACTGCTGCTCACGGATGGGATGGGCATCGGTCAGCGGGTGGTGAGCATTTGCATTGTGCATCGCTTGCTTTGTGTGTTGTTATTATTATTTTTTATTATTTTACTTTATTTCAATTATTGAACTGTTCTTATCTCAACCCATGAGTTTTCTCACTTTTACTCTTCTGATTCTCTCCCCCATCCCACCGGGGAGGGGGAGTGAGTGAGCAGCTGTGTTGTGCTTCGTTGCTGGCTGGGGTTAAACCACGACAGGCATCTACTGCCAATCTTAGTGCCTACATCAGCCTGGGAGCTCTTGGACCTGTCAGCCCTTTGCTGGTCTTGCTGTACAAACGGCACGGGGAAGTGGAGCACGGGGAAGAACCACCGAGTGCCTCTTCTGCCTGACTCCTCGGCAGATCCTGCAGCAACTGAGGGGCTGGGGCAGGCCCTGAGCCCTTCTGAGGACCAGCAGATCCTTCTGGCCAGCCGGCTCTAGATGTGCCCTCCTGTCATACCTGTGCCTGGGCGTTCACTTTGTTAAGCTTGAATGTGGATTCCAAAGTGGGGCTGGAGAAATGGCCGCTGCATCCTTCTGGAGAACAAGTGTGCTGGTGACCCCGGTGCTGCACCGGTGAGACACTGCAAACTGCTCCTGGGCATAGAGTATCCATGCGGTGGCAATGGGGAATGTGCCTGGCAGCTCTTGAAGGCAGGCAGCAGACCTGGGACTGGTTCATGGACCCTTTTGGGCTTCCCGGTTCTTATGTAGTCCTTTTCTCCACACTGGAAACAGCTACCGAAAGGAACACAAGCAAAGCCTAGCTCCCTGTCTGTCCCCACCAGAAACAACTCTGTCACAGTTTGGAACCAAGTTGACAGGGTAAAGAATAAATGGGCTCAGGTTTTGGTTTAGATCCTTACTAAGGGTTTATGGACTGAAGGGAGCACACCCACACCCCTGGGGGATGTGTGAAAAAATTTGAAGGGGGAAAAAAAAAAGGGGGGGGGGTTTTTTTTTTTTTTTTTTTTTTTTTTTTTTTTTTTTTTTAAAAAAAAGGCCAAACAACAACAACCAAAGAACTTCCCCCCCAAACAAAGAAAAAAGCAAAAATAACAACACCCCCTCCCCCAAAAACCAGCCCCAAAATCAAAGATAAAACACCCAAACCCCAAAAAACCTTCTAGAGATATATATATAAAATATATAACAAGTGACACAACTTGCCTGTTTTGCAGGATGGATGGTGTGGTCCAGGAGATAAGTCAGGTGGGCCAGTGCCATGGCTTCTAACAAAACCTCATTGTCTAGTGGGACAGCATGGTCCAGGAGAGAGTCAGTGGGTCAGCGTAGCAGTTCCAGGTAGAGGTACGTGGTCTGGGTGCACGGCCGCCCTCATTAGCCCTCGGGCACTCTTGTGGGTCTCTGCTGCATCGCTCCAGCAACCCCAGACACTCTCAGTTATAGGATTGGGTAGAGAAGACTGGCTGAAATTCCCCCAGCAGCTACTGAGTCCCTGTTGTCATTGCTGGTGCTCACAGCCTGCCCGCTGGAAGGTTCTCACGTTGGCAGGGACACAGCAATTAACAGGTTAGTTACAGGAGAGTAATTTGAGGGTAAACAAAGTTCAACAGGTCCCAAACCTATGTCAAGCTACCACAACATCTTAGCTAATGTCCTGCAGAGTGAGCTGTGATAACTGGGGCAGGGCAGGGCACTTCAGCATCTTTCACCCCTCCAGGTGTGACCCACTGTGGCTGGAGGAGTGGATGGCGATACCCCCCTCAGAAGCCTGAAGACACCTGTGAACCTCTTGAGGTTTGCATGGGAGACTGTCTTCCTTATTGCCAGGGAACTTGGTTCATGTCATACAAGCTGCTTTTCACAGAGCTTGCCTACGTGCCCTCCTCTGTGCTGCTCGGCCATCTCTAGGCAGCCAGCCAGCCTTGCTGCCCTAGGGCAGATGCTGGGTTCCCAAGAGCCGTGGGGGGGGCTTGTGAGGGTTTTTTTTGTCCCTGTGGGGAAGGCCTCTGTACTCAGTCCCTTATGACTTCTGACACCGCTTCTGCTGCAGGCCTTTCCCTAGCTACCCCGCGCTGCGATTGCCCCTGCCTTGCTCCGTTTCTTTCCAGGTGGGAGCACAGGGCAGAGCAGGGACTTTGAAGAGCAAACAAGCAAGTACACAGAGAGTGTTTCAAGGCTGCCTGCTACCCCCTCTCCTGTGCCTAATCTGTGCTGGTGATTGCATCCAGCAGCTGAAAATAAGCTCTTGGAAGGAGGGGAGGTGGTGAAGGGGAGCTGCCAAGCAGGACTATTTATACTGGATGAGTCAGGCCTGTGCCTGAATCCAGCCAGATGCTGGGGAGCTGGAACCCAAGGGCAACCTGCAAAGGACATAGCCTTGGATAAGAGGCTCTTTGCCTGTAGCAGCTTGTTTACTGTAAGGTTCAGACTTGTCCTGTTTTTTCCTCGTGATGGACTGCGCCTTTCCCTTCAGCTCTGCCACACAACGCTTGCTGCAGCTGGACGAGGAACAGCTGGATCAGTGGAAGTACTCTCGGCGTGTAAGGCCCCAGTACCACCACAGTGAGCACAGCCTGAACCCAGTTGGCCAGGGATGCCAGAACAGTCGCTTGGAGCCACTGGAGTGCCGGGATCTGCTGGTCCAGAATGCGCTCTTCACTGGGGACCTGGAGATGCTGCGGAAGTACTTCACCAAGAGCGCAGCCATCAATCTCATCATTGAGACCAAGGGGGATGAGCTGCGCTGGACTAGCAGAAAATTTGGTGGGTGTGCAGGGCTGGGACGTGGGGGTATGGGAAGTGCCCAGGATGGGGACCAGAGAAAGAGCACAGACACCTGAGAAAAGTGTTGAGAGGAATCCCCAGTGGTGGAAACAGGGTGGTGGAAGAAGGACTTGGGAAGAAAGGCTTTTGGATGAGGAAGGAGGATTCCAGGGCTGTAGAACAAATGGTAGCAGGCTTGTTGAAGGTGCTCAGAGGCAGATCTACTGGGAAGCGGTGAGAATCGTGCCCTTGGAAGGGCTGCTGGAAAGGAAAAAACATCAGGACAGTCCTGTTAGAGATTGCTGGGGTAGATGTGAAATATGTGTGAGGTGGAGAGAGTGCTTGGGTAAGAAGGCATCAGGTGGCATAAGAATGCTTTTCCTGCCTTATCTCTTAAGCTGGGTCTGTTACTTCAGTTCGTTAAAAACTGGAGGCTGTGACATGCTTTGGGAACAGCAGGGGGTCCTAGCAGTGCCCTTCGGGCAGGGCTTAGCCCATATCCTGAGGCAGAGCCATGGCTGTGCTTCAGCCTTGTCGGCAGCTGCTTGGGGACCAAGCCACAATTGCTCCATACCCACCTGTTCCTGCTGCTGTGGTGAAATCCAGGTGTGAAGCAGAGCCATTGCGATGCCTGCTCCAAACACTGCGGAGCTGCAGGGGGCTTGATGTGGGAGGACTACCAGTGATCAGCTGGAGGGGGGCTTTGCTCCAGAACAAAAGCATTTGCTGTTTTGCTTTCTTTGACATGTGGGGTTTGCACCCTGCAAGCTGTTACATTCTGTGAGATGGATTGGGCAAGGGGAGCGGAAATCTAGTCTACCAGAGAGATCATAGATGGTGGAAGCAAGCTTGTGCTGAGTGACAGGAGGTAGAAGGTGTAGAAGGTCACCCTTGGTGTTTCCTCCCATCTGTTCACCTCGCTGTACCTCGCCCAGATACATCTTGTGGCTACCGCACATGCTTCCACGCTCTCTGGTCCCTTTTGCTTCCCTTCTCATCCATGTCATCTATGAGCCTTTCAGTAAGCAGCATAGCCGATACGTTAAAGGGAGAGACGTGCTTAGCAATCTGGCAGTGCACGTCCTTGCGGCTCTCTGCTAGTAGTGCGGTGCAGGCAGACTCCCAGAATTTAAGATGGGGAGCGTCAGGTGTGAAGGGGCCATAATTGCACCACTCTTTTCCATAGAAGGTTGGTGGCAAAAGCCCCCCTGTTCCAGAATGGAAGAGCTCTTGATGAAGGCCACTTTCCCAGCGGTGTGGGGTCTTTTCAAGTGTCCCATTACAAAGCTATGGAGCACACTGGTAAAGCTCGACCATGACTGAGTGTTCTGTGGGGATTCACACTAGCAAGAGGCACAGATAGGATGGGCTTGCAGATGCAAGTGATGCTGCTTGTGGGTGGTGAATATTATTTACTGAGTTCCAAGATTTGTACAACCCAGGTTTTGAATCGTTACAGTCTACTTAGGTATTACCTTTTGTGTAACTGGGACCACTTATCAGAAAAATATTAATTGCACATTTTAACTCCTGTCTTATGCTGGGCTGACAGACACTTGACAGCAAGTCAGTCTGCTTGTAAAGATTAGTGCCCCAAAGAAAACAGAACAGCTGATGTAAAACAACTTCACACAGAAGATGCTCTCATCACCAAAATTTCAAGATGTGAAAACCCAACCAAAGAAGATAATTCATCAAGCACAGACCGAAAATGTACTGCCAAATTTGTCAGTAAGGGTATAGAACAAAACCCAAAGCTAATCTTCGTGCTACCTAAGGATTTGTATGGTTATGTATCTCACTGGCCTGCAGGGACAGTTTCTTAAAACTTACCCAGCCGACAATCTTAAAAGCAGATTCGAGTGACCTGGTCTTTCCCAAGTCACCCATACTGATATTTTAAGAAGCCTAGAGGAAGTGTAAATTGTGTGGTGTTATTGACACCAACTCACACAGCCTTTTGCCTCCCTGGCGATGCTTTTGTGATTGGGAACCTCAGGCTCTCATGGGATACCTGCTTATATCTTTGGGGAAACAGAGGATCCCATCAGGTGAGAAAGTCTGCCCTTTTTTTACCCTTTCATGCACTACATTGTAGCTAGACAAGGTGGTGAAGTCTGCAGACAGAGGATGTTGGAGACTGTCAGTATAGAATGCGGTCGTTTATTTTCATTACTGAGAAGGGTAAAGTTCCCTATCTTACACTTTTCTCTGGTCCCCCAGGTAATTGTTGCTTGGTGGTCTGTTGGGGTCACTTAACTTGTTTTTAGCTGCGTGAGCGGAATAGTTCCATGACACAAAATTAAACTAGCCACTGCTAGTCTTCCACGCAGTTTGATGTGGTCTTTAGAACACATGGTCTGAACAAAATGCACACAATGCTGACACAGCAAAGTGCACTGTTCTGTAACCAAAGTAGGGGTAAGGTGGGTTTATACAACTAAGTGGGGACAGGGGAAAATGCCATCTCAAGCGAAAGGCCAGCAGTGAGGAACCCCGAGTGAGGGGACTGTCAGAGGATGGGAAAGAGACTACTGAAACCATGCGGGAATTCTCTGCAAGGCTGAATTTCAAGGAAAAGTAGGCAGGGGTCTAAAGGATAATTAACTTCCATGTTTTTACTTCACTTGTAATGCACTGTTTCCCATCCTTGTGCCTGTTTCTACCTGTCCTTTGGCTTTAAGCTTTGATTAAAAAGAACTTTCCTGTGGCTCCTTTAAAAACCTGTTTAGTGCCAAGGGCTCGGGTGGAACTAGCAAACGGAGGTGCAGTGCTGGAGATGTGCAAGGAGCCAAGGGCTGGACAAAGGTGTGCTGGTGGTGTATGGAGGCAGCTGGGTTGTGCTGCTGTGGTCTGGGCAGCAGCTGGGTGACAGCAGGCCAGCTGGGCCTGAGACTGCTCCCCTCTCTGCTTTCTTAGTGATGTCGGGTCTCCGTTTCTACCCTTCAGGCTACTCTGCTACCCTGCCCTGCCTAGGGGCTTTCCCTTCACAGCCAGTGACTGCAGAGATCCTGCTGCCTGGGAGGAGTGTCCTTATCAGCCTCTTGGCCCAAACATTTGGTCACAAGGTTTCCCAGAATAGAACAGCTGAGACCTGAGCTGTGCCCAGCCTGGGCCAGCAGTGATGTGACATGTCCTCCCTGCGGAGCACCCCAGGGCAGACAGGCAGTCCGTCAGCCGGAGTACAGGGCACTGGTGGGGTTGTACACACAGGCTCAAAGCCTGGCCAGTGAGGCAGCAGAAGGTCCTGCCGTGGTTTCTGCAGAGGTTCTGGGTACTGCATCATGGGTAGCATCACGGGCAGAGGAGACAAGAGTCAGGAGCCCATTTGCACGCGGAAGGTGGATGGCCTTGCCCAGGTCTACTGGCAGGCCCTGCTGACTGGGGATCAGGGGACTGTGGCCGAGATCCTCAGCAACCCTCAGAACAACCTGAGTCCCAATGCTGTGTTTGACACCAGTGACCTGGAAGAGTGGAAAAACTACCGCTTCAACTTCCGCCGGCTGAGTACGCAGGGGGGCAGCGGGCAGGCGGCGTGGCCCAGCGGAACAGGGGCTCAGAGCCTTTTGCTTATGCTGCAGGGCATTACTGTTGCTGGGATTGTGTGTTATGGGTGCCGCTTGGGTTACAGAGGCACGGGGGTGGGAGTGAGAGCCCTGGGATGTGGTTGGGTTGCGCTGTGCTGCTTGTGGGAGAGCGTGCATGTGTCTGGGAGTGTGAGGTGTGTCTGCGGTACCCGGCTCTTCTAGCAGGGGTTTGTGCAGGTGCTTGGAAACGGCCTGGGTTCCCCCACAGCGCAAAGGAGATTCAAGGTCCAGGTTGTGCTCCTTCTGTGACCGGCCCTGGAGCCTGGCTCTGTCTGTGTGCAGCCTGTGCTGGACTGCTGGTTCTCTCTGTGGGTTGTGCTGGGCAAGAAATTGTCACAGCCCTGCGTTAGGTCCTCAAGATGGTTCAGTCTGAACCTGGCCCTGGGAAACACAGTTGACCGCATGCTGCTTCTGTGAGAAAGTGGTGAGAGGGATGCAGTGTTGAACATACGCAGTCTGGGACACGGTCCTTCAGCCCAGCCTGGAAGGGCAGCAAGAAGCATGACTTAACAAGCCCTTTTCCTCTTAACAGCTGCAGGCTGCTTGCCAGCAGACCGCACCAGCTCAGCAATGGTTCCAGCTGGGTCAGCATCTTTGACAGTTGGCAGGTTTCATCCCCTTGCTCTCTCCCAGGCCCTAGATGTCCATCGCTGCTGAAGCTTGCTTGTCTGCGCCATGCTCAGGATTTGTCTGAATCTCCTGTGTGCATGGCAGCCTGCTCCAGCACCTCTCTGTTTTACTGTGGTGCTTCATGCATGTGCTCTTTCCAGCCACCTTGCTGCTTTCAGCCCTGCCTGTGCCCCTAGGCCCTTCATCCGCTGTACTCCCGTCAACAGAAACCCTGTGCTGCATGACTGAGCTGCAGGTGAAAAGCAGACTTTCTGGGAACAGCCTCTGCCCCAAGGCTCCTGCTCCTTTGAGCTCCCTGTCAGCATGGCTGTGGAGTCTAAGACTCATCCCCAGATCTTTGGCAGGCCAGTCCAAAGGCAGGGACCTTGCAGAGCAGGGACTGGCAAGAAGAGGCAGTCTTTTGAGGGGAAACCCGAGTCTCTCAAGAGGGGATGTACATCAGGTACCCTGGGGGAAGGGGCAGGTCTGGGCCCAGTGCTGTTGTGCACTGTGGCTGGACGTGGCTCCCTGACCTCTCTTTCCC